CTATTACTATTACTATTACTATTACTATTACTATTACTATTACTATTACTATTACTATTACTATTACTATTACTATTACTATTACTATTACTACAGGCAAAGATCAGGGACCCGTTGTCAAAAACGAAATTAGTCTTAACATTAGTCTTAACATTGACTCCTACACCGTTGGCAGAAACATCGTAAAGTCACGAGAGAACGAAAAATCCCAGCAAATCTCCTCTTGACATTACGAGATCGTAGCACTCTCGCAACTTGGAAATCAAGATGAAAATAATTGCCATAATAGTGATATGATATTTTATATTAATTAGTAAAACATATTTTCCATGGAATTCAGAAACACCATTTATCTACCGATCGTGTACCAAAAAATTGATGTGATGTACAATGAATGTGTATGAATTAGAGTTTGTGATTAACTCTCATCTAATCAGCAGCCGTGTGACAGCAAATTATGAAGTTCCTGTTGCCGTAAGTATTCTCATAGCTGCGATGCGTTTCTGTCAACGCTATTCTCGTAACATTAACATTAGTCGTAAGCGTTATCCTAGCATTCACATTAGCCTTATCTTTACGATGTTTCTGACAACGGGCTATAATAATGTCTTTGTTCACTCCTGATATAATATATACGGCGCATATATTTACGGCACATAACGTTAATAGTTCTGCGTTGACAGTTACATGCCTCGGTGTAAATAACCTCATAACCTCATGAACAACGAGAATAAAACATCAACATTAACGCTTACTTACCCCTATCGTGACAAAGATGCGTTGCGCGGATGCTTGACAAGGCGTCCAGATAAGGCGCGTCCATGAGCACAGGATAGTGAAGCTGGAACTTTAGATAGGAATGGTTACGCTCGTTCGATACAACCGGGCCGTAGATGCAACATAGACAATGCAAAAAAGAATTCGCGTTTCGCGCTTAAAAGGAGCGAATTGGCTGTATGCCTGAAAGGAAATGAATTGGCTGTTGAACTGGTCGGACCTCAGCATCCCCGCGTTTCACACGCACAAACATATGAAACGCGAACGCACGATAGCAAGCTCGAACACTGCTTTACCATTCTTTCATTTTTGTTGCGTAGTAGCTCAACAGCTACTTCGACGCCTCATTCAACGACCTTCCGCATTCGAGGCGAGTACTCAACCATCACCGCGGTCCTCGGTGTGCGCATGCTCACCGACGCCCTCCAGCTTCGTCTGCTACTCTCGTTACGCGCGCGCGGGTAGCAGCATATCGCGGCGCGTCTGCGCGCATCAGCAGCGGTTCTACACGAGATGCGCGGCCGACGGCTACGCGTCATCTACTGCGTCGTCGCGCTGCTGTGTTGCGTCGCGTATCTACTGCGCTATTCGTCCATCGTCGGTGTCGCGCCCTGTGGCGACCGGACGCACCTAACCGGTTACCGAGACCGAAGGGTTACCCACGCAAAGCCCGGTAACCGGACCGTCGATTCGTCGCCGCTGAGAACGCGGCCGGCGGCCGTACCTAGATTCACTGTCGTCATGATGACGTATCGACGCAATGACCTGCTGCGCATGGTACTGACTAACTACTCCAAGATGGCGTTCATATACAGAATCATTCTGCTCTGGCATAATCTGGGTATATATGTGTTCTACGATTAGTATCAGTAGTAGTTTATGATGATAATAATAATAATAATAATAATAATAATAATAATGTTTTATTATTATTACAATTTTTTATCTAGTCTTGATATCAGAGTTAGTGAAACCAAGTTTCATGTTATCTGGTCATATTTTAGAAGAAGGCGGTGAAAACGTACCGCTTCTCACTCGTCCATCAAAATGCTCTTACAGTTAGCATCATCGGATGTTATATTTTTATCAATATGTAGCGATAAAACCTTGTATTTTTATTAAATATTTATATATTCTTACTTAAATGTTACTATATAACTATTAAATATTCTTATTTGCATATCTATTTCTACTTATTATTTGTAAAAATTCGTAATTTACCATACACCTAGTAATTAAGGTGGCTTATTCACGGTTAAAGCGGAAGTATCGCGTTTCGCATGCGCTTTCAGGCTGTATGCTGTATAAGCCGTTCGTTTATGTTAAATAAAACACAGGCGAAGAAGTGCCAGATTTTCCATATGATATCGTCAAAGGCGCCGGCAAAGAACTGATCGTGATTCGACCCGAACGAAATCTGCTGAGTAATCGAATGCGATTATCTGCCGATCTCATGACTGAAGGTAAGAATGAAGACAGAGAAAAAGGATGAGAGTGGATGGAGGGAGAGTGAGAGAGAGAGAGAAAGAGCGATAGAGAGAGCGAATGAATGAGAGTGGGTGGATGGAGAGCAGGGAGGGAGAGAAGGAGGAGAGAGCGAGAGGAAGTGAGAGACAGAGAGAGAGATAGACAGAGAGAGAGAGAGAGAGAGAGAGAGAGAGAGAGACAGAGCGAGAGAGAGAGAGAGCGAGAGAGAGACAGAGAGACCGAGAGAAGAGAGAGAGAGAGAGAGAAGAGAGAGAGAGAGAGAGAGAGAGAGAGAGAGAGAGAGAGAGAGAGAAAGAGAGAGAGAGAGAGAGAGAGAGAGAGAGAGAGAGAGAGAGAGAGAGAGAGAGAGAGAGAGAGAGAGAGCGAGGGAGCGA